AGAGGGAAGCCTGTGGGGAAAAATTTGTCTTGGGACAGGATCATAACTGAGTTATTGCAGGTACCAGTGACAGTTAAAAGAGTCAGTCCTGTATTAAGTGAGGATCCAGGACTGATTTTATATGTTCAAGTGGTGTTATATGGAGACCAGTGATAATACAGTGGTGTTTGGGATGAGTTGGTGGTAGGGTTAAGGACCTGTTCTCCTTTGTGTGTGTGTGTGTGTGTGTGTTGTGTTTGGTAGGGTTAAGGACCTGTTCTCCTTTGTGTGTGTATGTGTGTGTGTGTGTGTGTGTGTGTTGTGTTTGGTAGGGTTAAGGACCTGTTCTCCTTTGTGTGTGTGTGTGTGTGTGTGTGTGTGTGTGTGTGTGTGTGTGTGTGTGTGTGTTGTGTTTGGTAGGGTTAAGGACCTGTTCTCCTTTGTGTGTGTGTGTGTGTGTGTGTGTGTTGTGTTTGGTGGTACTGGGGCTTGAACTTAGGACCTTGTGCTTGCTAGACAGGCACTCTACCATTTGAGCCACTCCACTAGCTCCACTTTCTCTGTGTTTTGGAAAAGTAGAGTGAGCCACAGGGGACTTTCACTGGTGCTCTTGAGGCCATTGCATTTAGTGATGGTCACAGCAATCCCCTTCTCCTTCCCAATCTACTTTAGAATCATCCCCTTACCCTAGGGATCTGAGAGGGAGTAGGGCTAGGCCTGTGCTACCTGCTTAAACAGTTTGTGTTCCCTTCAGTTGTCATTGCTCCTTGGTGCCCTCATACTTTGGTTTGACTAGTTCATTCTTTGAATCTACATGATACTGGATTGTTGATCCTGAGGTTGTCTTGTGAAGTTGATGATTGAAGATGCTGGACCAGGAGTTAAGAGTAAAGCAAGCACAAAGTTTGGAAAAGCACAAAGCTTTATTGAAAAGATAGCAAAGCTCCCTGACATGTGGGGCTTAGTGAAAGAACTAAGCCAAAGAAAGGCCAAAGTGTAGGGGATAATACAGGGCTCCATTTGACTTAGGCTGTCCTTACTCTGCTTTGAAGCTACATTTGTAATTGGATGTCATCTAATTACCTTCTCACTGAATCTTACCATTTGGCTGCCCAACCTCCAATTTTTATCACACTTAGAGGGTTTTGCTAGTTCATCCTGTCCTTGAGGCCCCGCCACTTACATTTTATAACTACCTCTTGTTATCTTGTCTTGAGGTCCAACATTTTATGACTGCCTCTTGTTATCTTGGGAGACTCACCATTTACATTTATAACTCCCTTTTGCTATCTTGGGGGAATTTTGCTGTGTTACTTTCCTTGAGGAGTCTGTTTTCTGTCTCTTTAAATTTTTTTTTTTAAAGCTGCTTCTCTGTCACTTTCTCAGACCACTGTATTTTATTATCTGGGTGAGAGGCCTGTTTCTCAGGTCTCCTTAGATGTTTGCTTTTAAGGATGCCTTCCTGTCTCTCTTATCTAAGACAAAAGTTACTTTTGTCATTTGTTCCCTTTACATTCTTCTGTTATTATTCCTCTTACATTTCTAAAACCACTTCTGCTGTTTGCTCCGCTCACATTCCCTCCTCTTTAGAGGTAACCCTGACTTCTGTCAGGAAAAGGGGTGTCTGACTCATCTGATTGCTTTGAGCTGACAAGGGGTCCCCACACCTCAGTTCCTCTGAGGTGACAAGAAGGGTTTGTCAAGGGGTTCATGGTACTAGGAGGCATTTGTGGCTTTGCCTCCATCACCATCTGTAGCTTGATTATCTCCATGCTTGAAGATACAAACTTAACAAGCAAATTAAAAGTGCAGGGGCTAAAAATCAATAGGATTGTGGTGACCAAAGGGCCGAGTAACGGAAGTAACCAAGTTAGAGATGGCAACCAGGACTTGATTTTCTCCCACACCTGTGTATTTATTGAGTGTTCTTTTAGCCATTTAGTCTTATGAAGGATTACTTTAGTATGGGTGTCTACCTGTCCAGAGGTGTTGATGTACATGTAGAAGGAGGTGTTGGCTATAGCACATTATACTGAGTAGGATTACCATGGCAACAGCACATTACCAGTAGGAAAAACTAGCTTGTTTCCTAATGGTCTAAATGAGGGGTCTGTATGGGTCCAGGAAAAATCTATTGTTTGTAAGTCCAAAACTAAAAACACCATAATAAAGCAGAATACAAGGAGGAGTAAGTAACTCCATAAGCATTAAAAGGACATGTCTGGAGCCAGTAGAAATAGCCACTTTGTCCATATTTAAGTATAAGGCCCCTGTCAAAAGTATGAGTTTGTCTTCTGTCAGAGGAACCTGGAAGGGCTTTAATGCCAGATAGCCCTACATGCATAATAGCCTCTAAGATTCTTTGGATTGGTCACTGATCCCCTCGTTGCAAGGGTTAACTCTATCCTAGCTATTCTGTTTTGGTTCCATGTTGGGGGGACAGTTAATAAGCAGGTCAGTGCCAACTAGACCCTTTTAGCCAAATTTAAGCAACAAAGAGGCTTAGAAGGAGTGGTCCTTAGGCTGTGTGCTTCTGGACAAGGACAGTGAAAAATAAAACCCAACAAAAGTAGATATTTAAAAAGCTAACGTGGTTGACATTTAAGTACTTGTTAGAGTCTTTTTTTTTTTTTTTTATGGATTTGATTATAAATGCTCCAGAAGGATCAGAAATGCAATGAGAAAAAAACTTAAAATAGCCATGGTTAAAATTTTGATAAACAGTTCAGACTAACAGGACAATCTAGGTATATTAGGTATACCTATTATCTAGGTATTAGATAATAATTATGATTGGCAGCATTACATTAGCACCATTAATTTCTCTTGTTACAATTAGGAACATGTGCACAAAAACCTGCAAAAGGCTAGCATTAAGTTTTAATTTGTAGGACATGAGCTTGGTACAGCGTGTATCTAAACTTTGTATTTTTGAAGGCCTTGTACACTTGGAAAATACAAATACATTTAATATACAGTGGATCCAGCAACAGCATTACAGTTTTACAGAGTCCATAATACATACTAATTTAGTTGCTACCCTTGGAGTAAAACCTTAAATTTTAAGATAGATAACAGGTGTGCACCACTTGACAGAATTTAAAACCCTAGATATTTTTTATCAGTTAAGGGGGCAGTGTCAGTGACCCCAAATAACCCCTATTTTTAATGTTTAATTGTATCTTATATATAATAGTGTTTACCCAACCAAGACAAGACAAATAGATATAGTCCAGGTTTAAGCAGTAAAACTGCTCAAATGGCAGTCCTTTCCCATCCAAATGGTATTGATCATCAATAACAGAAATGCAAAAAGTCCTATTGACCATTTTTATAAGTAAGAGGTTCAGCCGTAATGCATCTTAGATAAAGGAGAATATTAGCTGGTCATTTTATATTTTCCAAACTTTCACACTTTTAACTCTGAAAGCATTCGTACAATATTTAGATATAGTTTAAATATATACCCCACATATCTTTAGTCACAGACACATATAAGGCCCTAACTTTATTAGAATTACTTTAGGTAACAGTTATTTAACCACAATTATGAGATCATCTAGAGGACTAGACATAAATGGACTCTTGAAAAATTTTTATTTAGCTACTACTTAGTTTTTTCTGTAGTAAAAACCCTGGCAAAAATCAACAGAAAACACAAGTAAATATTCATCAGGACTAAGTGTAGAGTTAGGAAACCTGATGGCTGAGATGTCGATGAGGGATCACATCCCAGATTGCTGACATTAATAGATGGCTCTTGACAAACAGCAGGGTCCTACTGACCTATAGTCAATGGAGCTGCCCCAAACTAACAGGCCCAGTTTGTCCCTCCAAGGCCAAAAAATTTTCTCCACCTACCATGTGGAAGGAGTTGATGATGCATAGCCCAGTGTCTCGGGGTTAATGGCACATAACCCAGTTTTTCAGGTTTAACTATCTCCATATCTGTAGACCCCAATAAAGGTTTGAGGTCCCACCATCCCATCCGGAGGGTATACTTTTGTTTTTATATAAGTAAATTTGTCCCAACCCATATATCAGTGTAGCAGGATGCTCTGTGCTCAGCTGCTCATTGTGTCCTGATAATTTTTTTTCCTGTTTGTCTTAGTAAAATTTTTTTTAAACAACCTGTAGCATCAAAAATATTTGGTAGCTATCTTGACAAAACAAAACCTTTCCTTTAAGTCAGAACTATATTTTTAAGATAGCTTGTTGTTATGAACTTAGAGAATTAGGTTCTAGTTTAACATCAGTACATTACAGCAGTGGGAAATGTGCTAATACAATCATGCTATTCTAATAGTGATTTTCTGACCCCTCCTTCTCCCCCCCTTTTTTATGATGCTGGGGATTGAGTCCAGGGTCTCACACATGTTAGGCAAGCACTGTCTGCTGAGCTTTATCTCCAGCCTTTAATGACAGTTTTCTGTTTTTCTCATTCCTCCTATGTTTAATAATTGGAATTTTTCTGTTTGGAAGGGTTGTCACTTCTCACCCACTTTATTTATATATTTAGTCATTCAGGGGATTATTTATGTCAGTTCAGGCTCATGGATATTTGTTTTATTCTGTAGATTCTTATCTAATCCTGTAGTTCCTTGTTTTGGTGCTTCAGTTGTTCAGTGTCTTCTGCTTGAGTTTAGAGTGAACATGTTTGTTGAGATGAAGCCAACCCTGTGTTGCCGTAGAGTAGTTGGAGACTATTCTGCTTTACTTAACCTCTAACCTCTAACAGAATGGTGGATGAGCCAGTTAAACCTTTCTTCTTCCATTTTTGGATCATAATTTGCTGCTTATTGTGATGTTTTTTTTATTTTAGGATTAGACTAGTGAATTTCCAAATTCAACATACTCAAGATTGGATAAAGAAAATATAAAACACATTGTTTATGAAGCGAATTTAGATTCTGTTTGTTAAATGGTAAAATTTAGATTTTATATATGGCTTAAAAAATCCCTCAGGTTGAAAGCATCTGTTATTGTTATAAATTATTTCACATTATAAATCATGTTTTTAGGAGAAAAAGAAACATGAAACTCCTCGGATGGAAGAGGCTGATGAAGTCTCCCCTCCAAAAACCTCCAGAGAGCAGGAGATCCCTTCTTCAGTTTGTGAATTCAGAGGTGATCATCTGAAGGTGTTAACCGATTCCCAGCTCCAGAGCGATGCCAGTGGACAGAACGAAAGTGAAATGTTTGATGTACCACTTTCCTCCTTGACTATAGATGATGAAGGGTCCCTGACATATAACACAGAGCCCCTAAAAGAAAGGGAAGAAGTTAGAGCTTGTGTGGGAGATGATGCAGTCAAGCTGAAGGTGGACTCTGGAGACAATGTTGAAACTAAAGTGGAACCCCCTGAGAACTTTACAGAAGCTGAGGGAAATGCACTGTTACAGTGTGGACCTTCAGAAAGCACACTGCAATTTGCTTTTTCCTACCCTCAGCAGGAAATAGACAATTCTCAAGTCAGAGAAACTCAGAATAGGAAAGAAGACAAACAAGCCCTGGGTTGTTCCTCAGAGGTGCTTCAAAACGTTGGCTTGCAGAGTTCTTATGAAGCCAAAGAAGTTTCTCAGTCACCGAGAGTGAAGAGACTGTATCCTCAGTTGCCAGCTGAAATCGCTGGAGAAGTACCAACTTTGGTAGCAGTGAAACCCTTGTTGTGTAATGAGCGACTCTACCCAGAAATCCCATCTCAACCAGATCTAGTACCATTTACTAAAGAACAGCTAAAAATCTTAGAGCCTGGTTCATGGCTGGAGAATGTTGAGTCATATTTAGAAGAATTTGACAGCATGGCTCACCAGGACAGGCATGAGTTTTATGAGTTGCTTTTGAACTACTCACGGTGTAGGAAGCAGTTGCTGCTGGCTGAAGCTGAGCTGCTTACTCTGACATCTGATTGCCAAAATGCTAAAAGTCGACTGTGGCACTTTAAGGAAGAGCAAACATCTGTACAGGTATTTCGACCAGTGTCTGTAAAACTTTGAAGAACCTGAGGAATTTGCAGAGGAGCTGCTATTCCTGTGATGCTGTCCAGGCCTGCAGTTCCTTATACCCACACTGACTCTGGTTTCTCCCACAGTAGGACAGTGCGGAGATCACAAGGTCACATGCGTATGGGACCAGGCATGTGATCTGAGGGAGTGAGTCAGTCTGTGTAGGACAGTGATTAGTGGGGAAGCGCATGCCTAGTCTAGAGGGGTCAGCCCCTCTTAACTTCTGGCTGCTTATTTCTGTGTGGTTGTGATGGGCCAGGATTGCCACATTTTAAGATTTTCTAAGAGAAGCTGGAAATCTCTGTGAGAGATCCTAATTGATGATGTTAGCAACTGATTACATACACACACACACATACACACACACACACACACATAGACATGCATACACACAGACATACACACATAAACACATATGCACATAGACACACATACACACTCAGACACACACATAACACCACACACACATACACATGCAGACACACACACAGGCGTTAGCTCATGTCTCCAGGTCAAATTCAGCCCATGGACCATTAGTTTGAGACACTGGGCGTGATGCCACAAACATCCAGTGGGCAGAGAGTGTCTAGATTGAGAGGAGATGAAACAGGGAAGTCCATTAGATGGACTGTGGAGGCCAAGGTGACCGTAAGCCCATTTCATAGTGGCATGGGGGGATGGCAAGAAAGAGAAGGCCACTCTTGACCAGGTTGGCATCGAAGGGGAGCTGGAGGAGATACTGGGAGAAACGTGATTTTCTGATTCCCAGCCCTCATTTATTGGGAACCTTGTGATCTCTGTGTAGATGGGAAGGAGTCTGTGGAGAGGAAAACATTTGGAAATACTGAAAAAGCAAGGTTAGAATAAGGAATACAGCTGAGGAGTTAGTATTGGAAAGGAGAGGGGTTTCTTTTGAGCAGAACCACAAAGAACAATGAGGGTAGATCCAGAGATATTTTTAAGTACCATGAAGTTGAGAGACTATCACATTGGTCTCAGTAGTCATAAAATAGAAGGTAGGATGACCAATGTGAAATGAAAATCTTAGGGACAAATTCTGTTGTTTTCTTGCATCTTTTCCCATCGACTTCTTAGGGTTATTCTTCCTTTCTCTGAACTCATGATTGGCATTAGACTCTTTGGCATATGTTCATTTATTCACTGGTATTATTTTCTACATAGTAGTACTGTATTCTTACCATGATACTGAAAGCTATGTATTTTATACCTGCTGCCTGATTGCTTTAAATGCAAAGAGTAACTGGTTTGATTATTTTACCCTTTTATCCACTGGTAGGGTATCTGTGCAGATCAAGTGAAAGTTTATGGCTGTCATCGTTACCAGAGAGTAGAGATGAATGAAAATGCACTGGGGGAACTGAAGAAGCTATTTGATGCCAAATCTGAGCACCTTCATCAGACTCTGGCCCTTCATTCTTATACTTCTGTGCTCTCGAGGCTGCAAGTGGAGTCTTATATCTATGCATTGCTCAATAGCTCAGCTGTTCTGAGGTCTTTAGCAATTCATCAGCAAGGCCAAGGTGTGTGAGTAATGAAGGTCTCCCTCTTTCTTATATTCGAAAGTGGACAAAAGAAAAGTATGACTGGTTGAATTGACTGGATACTAGTTGGTCTTATAAGGTATTATATGTATATGTAATTTTTTCTTGCCTCCCCCAATGTAGAACTGAGATCTGCCTTAGTGGCATTTCTTGGGAACAGAGTTATGCCTTCCTTCCCCATGGTTGTCATTCTCTGCTTCTCTAGGATGCCAAAAAGCTTGCTTTCTGTCAGTAATGTCCCTTCCTGTGCTAGTTTATGTGCTCATTACCAAGTGGAGTTCAAATAGAGTTTGATTCCAAAACTAAATTTTTCTGTCCTCTATCTCTTGCACATTATTTTTGCTTGTCCAGTTTGTTTGGCTGTGTTTAATTTTTAAATGAGGATCTATAATGTTTTGAACTTATCATCTTAATTTGGATTTTAAGAAGCTAGCCTTTACTGCATGATATATTGATGTACTTATTTAATTATGCCGTCTTTATTTTTGGGATCGAGATTAGGATCCTCTAAAACTGAAAAGTTTTCTCCTCTCCTCCTCCAAACCTTCTTTCTTTCTTTCTTTTTTTGGTGGTTCTGGGGTTTGAACTCAGGGCCACCTTGAGCCACTCCGCCAGCCCTTTTTTGTGAAGGACTTTTTTGAGAGAGAGTCTCATGAACTATTGCCTGGGCTGGATTTGAACCGAGATCCTCCTGATCTTTGCCTCCTGCGTAGCTAGGATTACAGGGGTGAGCCACCTGTGCTTGCCTCCATCTTGCTTTCTTAAGTAGTCAGAGAGCTGGGGATAGGTCAGAGGCTAGCTTTTAGGTAAAAACATAATAAACTGTGATAAAGTTGAGTTTCCCTTGCTTTGAAATATTGATCTGCTTAATAGAAATTCAAATCTCTGTGCTGGGGATTGAATTCAGGGTTTGTGCATGCTAAGCAAACTCTACCACTGAGCTGGACCCCCAGCCCATAATTCGGATTTCTTGAAGGAACATTTATATTTGTATTTTTATTTGAGCTAAACATTTAAAGTATTTTGGTTGTTTGTTTTAAGTGAAGACACTAAACATTCCTTCCAAAGCACCATTTATGTGGGACTCATTTAATCCTCTCTTTACTTTATAGTTTCTAAAGTGGCAGAAAGCATTCCCTCTGATCTGTGTCAGTTGAAGGAGTGCATTAGTGTCTTGTTCATGTTCACAAGGAGAGTGAATGAAGATACTCAGTTCCATGATGATATTCTTCTGTGGCTGCAGAAATTGGTAAGGGACAGATACACAATAATTTTTTTTTTATTGCCTGAACAATTTAAGAATTAACTCTTATTTCATCCTATTTTTTCTTAGCTTCTTAAAGCAATTCATTTAGTGAGTTAATGACTTTTCTTTGATTATGACACATGGTAATGTTATTTATCTAGTGATTACTGAGCACAGGTGTTTTTATTTTTGTAAATTATGTTAAATGGACTCTGACTTTTAGCTCAGAGTTGAACTCAGAAAGACATGGAAGTGAGGGAAAAGAAGAAAGGTGTCAATATTTGCAAAATTTGGGAATGATGTTAAGTGTTACTGAGGGAATGGGTATTTTTTTATTGGTTCTATTTCCCACTAAGGTTCATACTAGAGTTTTTGTTCTTTTGACGCAGTCTCACTGTGTAGCTCAGGCTGGCCTTGAACTCTGTATCTAGCCCAGGCTGGCCTTGAACTTGTGATCCTCCTGCTTGTACCTCCCTGAGTGCTAATAATTTACCTTTTTTCCTGTGGTGATTGAAGCAAGGACCTTGTACTGACTTAAATCTTCACCCCTAGAGTTCTTAAATATGGGGCTGATATTCTAAGCATATTTATTTGAATTTTTATTTTTATTTATTTATTTATTTTATTTAATTTTATTTTATTCATATGTGCATACATTGTTTGGGTCATTTCTCCCCCCTTCTTCCCCCCGCCCCCTTCCTTACCTCCCTCCTCCCTTACCCCCCCTTACCCCTCGCTACCAGGCAGAAACTATTCTGCCCTTATCTCTAATTTTGTTAAAGAGAGAATATAAGCAATAATAGGAAGGACCAAGGGTTTTTGCTAGTTGAGATAAAGATAGCTATATGGGGAGTTCACATGCATTGATTTCCTGTACATGTGTGTTACCTTCTAAGTTAATTCTTCTCGAACTAACCTTTTCTCTAGTTCCTGGTCCCCTTCTCCTATTGGCCTCAGTTGCTTTAAAGTATTGGCTTTACAATAAAGGAAATGCAAATTAAAACCACGCTAAGATTCCACCTCACCCCTGTTAGAATAGCCATCATCAGCAACACCACCAACAACAGGTGTTGGCGAGGATGCGGGGGAAAAAGGAACCCTCTTACACTGTTGGTGGGAATGTAGACTAGTACAACCACTCTGGAAAAATATTTGGAGGCTACTTAAAAAGCTAGACATTGATCTACCATTTGATCCAGCAATACCACTCTTGGGGATATACCCAAAAGACTGTGACACAGTTTACTCCAGAGGCACCTGCACACCCATGTTTATTGCGGCACTATTCACAATAGTCAAGTTATGGAAACAGCCAAGATGCCCCACCACTGACGAATGGATTAAGAAAATGTGGTATCTATACACAATGGAATTTTATGCAGCCATGAAGAAAAAGAAATGTTATCATTCACTGGTAAATGGATGGAATTGGAGAACATCATTCTGAGTGAGGTTAGCTTGGCCCATAAGACCAAAAATCGTATGTTCTCCCTCATATGTGGACATTAGATCAAGGCCAAACACAACAAGGAGATTGGACTATGAGCACATGATAAAATCGAGAGCACACAGGAAGGGGTGAGGATAGGTAAGACACCTAAAAACTAGCTAGCATTTGTTGCCCTTAACGCAGAGAAACTAAAGCAGATATCTTAAAAGCAACTGAGGCCAATAGAAAAAGGGGAAACAGGTACTAGAGAAAAGGTTAGATCAGAAAGAATTCACCTAGAAGGTAACACCCATGCACAGGAAATCAATGTGAGTCAATGCCCTGTATAGCTATCCTTATCTCAACCAGCAAAATCCCTTGTCCCTTCCTGTTATTGCTTATACTCTCTCTATAACAAAATTAGAAATAAGGGCAAAATAGTTTCTGCTGGGTATTGAGGGGGGAGGAGAGGGAGGGGGCGGAGTGGGTGGTAAGGGAGGGAGTGGGGGCAGGGGGGAGAAATGACCCAAGCCTTGTATGCACATATGAAAAATAAAATTAAAAAAAAAAAAAGTATTGGCTTTAGTGTCTCTGTGTTGAGGGCAACAAATACTATCTAGTTTTTTGGGTGTCTTACCTATCCTCATACCTTCTTTGTGTGTTCTTGCTTTATCATGTGATCAAAGTCCAATTCCCTTGTTGTGTTTGCCCTTGATCTAATATCCACATATGAGGGAGAACATATGATTTCTGGTCTTTTGGGCCAGGCTAACCTCACTCAGAATGATGTTCTCTAGTTCCATCCCTTTACCTGCGAATGATAACATTCATTCTTCTTCATGGCTGCATAAAATTCCATTGTGTATACATATCACATTTTCTTAATCCATTTGTCAGTAGTGGGGCATCTTGGTGGTTTCCATAACTTGGCTATTGTGAATAGCACTGCAATAAACATGGGTGTGCAGGTGCCTCTGGAGTAACCTGTGTCACATTCTTTTGGGTATATCTCTAAGAGTGGGATTGCTGGATCATATGGTAGATCAATGTTTAGATTTTTAAGTAGCCTCCAGATTTTTTTCCAGAGTGGTTGTTGGATTTTTAAAACTATTAAAACTGAGATTGTATTAAATTACTTGACATCTATTCCAATGTGGTTAGTGTGTTTTTGTCATAGTGTTTATAGATTGATTGGCCTCTGTGTACCTCTGTGATAGAAACTCAACCAGTCAATAGTATTTATCTGGTTACTCTTGAAAGATTACATGTACTTAAACATCAGATAAATGGCTTGGCTAGATTGTTATATAAATTCTTTTTCTTTGAAAATCTGAACCCATGAACCCTTTGTTGTACAGGTGTCAGTGTTACAAAGAGTCGGCTGTCCTGGAGATCACCTCTTTCTCCTAAACCATATTCTTCGATGCCCAGCTGGTGTGAGTAAGTGGGCTGTCTCTTTCATCCAGGTAAGATGTGTGGCCTTCTGATTCCACAAAGAGAGGGGTAAAGAGTTTTATTGGACTTTTTTTTCTGAACAAACTGCTTAAAATAAGTTACTTAAAAATACTGGTACTTAAGATAAAATTCTTAAAATAGATCTAGTATATACTTGTAGGAGGTGTTATGCCAAAACTTCTTAGGCTACCCACAGTTGATGAAATTAGGAAGTTATGATAGACTTGTAAAAGTTCACTTATAGTCTGGCTTGGTAGATTCAGTAGTATTTAATTCTGTAGCATTTATGTGTAGGAAGGCTTTCTAGGATGATTTTTTTCCTGTAGTACTCAACATGACTTCCTAAAGTAATCCATCTCATGTCACAGATGTTACAGGTAAAACAGAAGCCACCAGCATACTAGCAGAGATCTTGGGCCTATGTGGTCAACTCGAATAGACTTCAAAGTTGATCATATGGTTTGTAGTTTCTCCTCTCTGATGTTTCCTGTGGGTCTTTTTATTACTCATAGCAACTGCTGACATGGTAGGAGCCAATATGTATGCCATGTTCATCTTCACATTTCCTTTACTTTAGTATTTTTGGTGGCAAGAAGTGTGAATATTTTTAAAGAGAAGGAAGAATTTTTTTTTTGCTTTTGTTTTGTTTTTTTTTTTGGTTTGGAGTAGTAGTATGCTCCTTCATCTTATGTTGTCACAGGTGATTGATGTAAACTTCTCACGTACTTCTGATCTTGAGTATAGCAGAGGCAGTGCTGCCAGGTAACCACGAGCTGTGTCTTGCACTTGTGGATTAGGTGCCAGTTTCACCTTTGTTCTCTTAATAGCAATTTTATTGTTAGAGTGCTTGTGAACTAAAATTATGGACACTTGAATTGGTTTTCTACAGTGTGCCTTTTTCTTTTCTGATTTCAGATCAAAGTCCTGAATAACCCATCAGGGGTCTTTCATTTTATGCAGTCTCTTGCCCTGCTGATGTCTCCTGTCAAGTAAGTGTGGAAGAGCTTTGGGAAGTAGAAATTGAAATGCTTTTTTCTGTCAAAGGATTGGCTTTCTTGACTCCAGATCCAAAGGAGAATTGCTAACAGACATGTCAAGATTCTAGAGTTTAACATTGCAGATTTTCTTTGGGTTCGGTACTCCAAAGTGACCCTTTTAAGCTGCTTATCAACCCTTTTTTGGAGCCTCCTTTTTAGTATGTTTGTCTCTCTTATTGTATATATCATTGTGAAAGGTGCCACAGATAAAGAGATGATTTATTCCTTAGAAGTAAGAGATTTGGTGCTACAGGATAAAAAACCACAGAGATTTATGTACTGAATTGTGAGGCTTGGTTGCTGCAATAGAAATTTAGAGAATGAAGAGTTGAGTGGAATAGATGGTTGATGGTGGCTGATTTCATTGAGAGAGAAGGACTAGGGAGACCTGGAGTGGGGAGAAGATTGCAGTGTAGTTTGGAGTGGCTGCACAGAGATAGGCAGATCAGCTTAAATGGGGCAAAGGCGAGTGCAGGAGGTGGTAACAAAAGTGAATAACTAGGGAGAGTTAAAGGGTAGACAGTTTATGACTAAGGAATCTAGATTTGATATGGTCTGGCTTTTCTAGCACTGGAAGGTCTTTAAACAGATAAAGTTGTATTTATGGAAGATTTGGGTGGACTGAAGGCAGAAGAATATGTACTTCTGCTTAATTGAATGGTTACAAATGTCTGGCTCTCCTGGCTCTGGAACCCAAACCCAATATCAAGAGGGCACATCCTCAACTTGGGGAGAAGGCAGGGTCAGTGTATAGATGACCCCAAACTGTGTGTGTTACTGTCATCTGCTCTCAGGCCCTAGAATACTTGTCTACCTCTAAACCTGTTTCAGGGTCATGGTAGAGGACAGAGGAGGGGAACTTGTAGATCACCTTTCCCAGGTCAGGATTTAGTAGCTGACTGAATAAAGGGAAAGGAATGGGTCAGTGGTAACTCTAGACTGTGCAAGTCCAAATGACTGAGAAAGTTTTAGAAGCACTAACACACAGAAAACTCAGAAAGGAGAGTTGTTTTGTACAGAGGAAATTTGAGGTCATTGATGCATCCAGGTGGTCACATACAAGTGACACAAAATGATGGACACCTGCAGCTTAGGATTAGAGCTTGCCTGGTTGAAATGCAGCACTGTAGCTACAGAGCTAGAGGTGAGAGAAGGTTTTTGGTGAAAGGTAGAAATACGCCTTCTCAGAGAGGACTGAGAACTGGGTTGTGGTCTAAGAGAAGAGACTGTCTTGGTTAACCTACTCATCAGATCCAGTGAGTTGCTTGGGAAAAGGCCAGCTGACATGAGTTCTGGCTTCTCTCCCTTACCACATGCTTGCAGAGGTTGCTTCTTCACAGGGAGATATGATTTGACTCAGATGTTTTTGCCTTTGTATGTACTTTTTTGGCCCTAAACAAGTCTCTATCATGTGTGGATTGCCCTTTTGTATTCAGTAAGACACATTTCCTAAAGGCTTCTCCCCAGCAACACTCCTCAGCCTGTTTGAAGGAAGGCTTTATAACAACCATACTACATAGCTTCTACTGTGAACTGGTTGCTGTACTGGTCTAACTGCGTTTCCACAGTTACTCAGCATTACTAATTTGGAATGGTTATGCTTTCTATTCAGTTAGTGAGATTTTAGAATCCTTTATTTTCAGCCAGTTCTTCCTTCTTGTTTGCTGATTTAAACCATTCAAAGGTGCATTGATGATCTAGGATGTACTCAGGTGGGGCTTTCTATGTTTTTGTGATCAGAGTTTTTCCTGCCCTTCTTTAGAAATCGAGCAGAGTTTATGTGCCACATGAAGCCCAGTGAGTGGAAGCCATCCTCTTCTGGGCCTTCGTCTGGGACCTGGACACTAGTGGATGAGGGAGGAGAAGAGGTAACTTGCCATATCTGCATCGTTTCACTAATCATTTTGAACTGTTTTTATGTGCCAGGTGTGGTTCTGAGCACTTCCCCTATATTATCTCATTTAATTCTTCCAGCAGCCCCTTGAGGGGTACTGTTGTGATTCCCATTTAGAGAGAACGGGAAACTGAAGTGCAGAGGAGTGAAATAACTTGCTTCGAATCAGATGGTCATTAAATGTGAAGCCACTGGAGGCAGTGTGTTAGGCTGTCACCCTTCTTTAGGATATCATTCTATTCAGTTGGGAGAATCTGGAACCTAGAATTGAAATATAGCCATGGTATGTGAAATTTACATCAGGATTTTCTTTTATGTAGTAACAAGTTCCTGGGGGGGGTCTCACCTACAGAGTATCAAAGACCCTGAATAATTAAGAACTGGGGCTCACCAAGGTTCTACTTTAACGCTTAAGAATTTCTTACCTAGATCTTCTCATTTGAATGGGTAAAAGCTGGTTTTCTTTTTTTTTTTTTTTTGGTGGTACTGGGGCTTGAACTCAGGGCCTTGCATTTGCTAGGCAGGTGCTCTACCACTTGAACCACTCCACCACCCCTGGTTTTCTATTTTTGTTGAGAATTTAATTATCAAAATACAGCTTCTCAAGATAACGCTTGCTAATTTTTTTTAAATTGCTATTTATTTATTTATTTATTTGCCATATAAATGGTTAGTGTATTTGTATGAAAATTTTTTCTCCAGCTCATTATGAGTGTTTTTTTCTGGTCCAAATCTTCATAAGATATTTTTATTTAGGATGTCCATTTACCAGATTTACAAAATCCCTCTCTGTTTAAGAAGTTGAAAGTAGGCAGTGGACAGTTCTTAGAATGACAGGCATGGAGTTGTAGGGTTTATGCCTATTTATTTCCCTAGGTACTCATTCAGAAATAGATGTCCCCTTCACAGAACTTCACAGTCATTTTACTCCTCCTGACACTTGCAGCAAGTAGAGAGGTGGTGGTAAATGATGTGGGTATACAGCACCTTTGCTAGAGCCTGATATACTTTCCTAAAGAGCTTCTCATGACCTGTAGAAATTGGTCCTTAAAAGATTATAATGGAGCAGTATTTTTTTCTAGAATGATATTTTTAAGAAAAAAGTCTTTTTTTTTTTTTGGTAGATTAAGGACCCTGTATTGGTGGCTGGTTCTTGGTTAGCATTTACCAAATGTTGAGTGAATTCAAGAACTTAGGGAGCTGGGTACAGTGACACATTTCTATAAATCCAGCATTAGGGAAGCTGAGGCTGGAGGACCATGAGTTCTAGGCCAGCCTGGGCTACATAGTGAGACCCTTGGGCACTTTACAGTAAGCCTCACCCGGGCCTACAGCCTGACATCCAGATGTTTCTGAGCCTGCCTGGTGATTTTTATGTTCACTCAGAGTTAAGAACTACTACTCTAATTGAAGTTTTGACGTTCTTATTTGTTACCCATTTCGAATATTATATTAATCTATTTTGCATAACTGTAACAAAATACTCAAGGCAAGTAGCTTTATATAAAGAAGAGGTTTAATTGGATTATAGTTTTGGAGAAAATCCAAACGGCATGGCACGGCCTTGGCAAGGGCCACATGGTAGATCACAAGTCAAAATAGGAAGCCAGCCTAGTGCCTGTGGCTCATGCCTGTAATCCTAGCTACTTAGGAGGCAGAGATCAGAAGGATTGATGTTCAAAGCCAGCCTGGGCAAATAGTGCCTGAGACCCTATCTTGAAAAAAAACCTTCACCAAAAAGGGCTGGTGGTGTGGCTCAAGGTGTAGGTTCTGAGTTCCAATCCTAGCACTGCAAAAACAAAACAAAAACCCAGGAAGCCAGAGAGCTGGATGAGGACAGAGTTGCCCTTTTTAAAGCAACCTTCTTGTGAGAAATACTAAGGGGTCCATAAGAACTTTTTTTTTTTTTTTCAGTATTGGGGTTTGAACTTAGAGCCTACACTTTGAGACACTCCACCAGCTCTTTTTTGTGATGGGTTTTTTGAGAGAGGGTCTTGAGAGCTGTTTTCTCAGGCTGGCTTTGAATTGCGCTCCTCCTGCTCTCTGTTTCCTGAGTAGCTAGGATTATAGGTGTGAGCCACTGGCACCCAGCAAGAACTTTCTTAATTCCTTCCAAGGGTATTTTCTCCATGGCTTAAGGATCTCCCACTAGGCCCCACCTTTTAAAGGTTCCACACTATCTCCCCACATTGCTAGCCTCAGAACCAAGTTCCCAACACAGGAATCGCAGGGGAAAAATTGCATATGAACCTAGCAGACACATCAAAGGATTAAAATGAGTGGCTTGAGAAGATTATGAATGAATTGCATTTGTCCTTTGTTGAAATTGAAGTGATACATTCTTCAAGTTCTCAGGATCTTTTTACATCCTTTCACTTTGAATGTAGTATATCTTAGGACACAGGTCAGCTTGGTTTCTAAGGTGAATTTAGCATTCTGTATCAAACATAAAGACCCCAATGATACTGCCTATATGATCTCTGTGTGTGACCACTGTTACATTTTCCTGCCCTCAGCAGCACTAATTGATAGTTGAACTTGAGTCTTCTGTAGACACATGCTAACTGCTTCAACAAAAGTTTGTTGAGCACTGTAGTGGACCTTTATTTTAGGGGAAGAAAATTTTACCTAATGTAAGTACTGTGTACTCATGTATGTAAATGCAAAAATGATACCTGTTGAAACTATTCCAAGAATTGGTAGGAGGGGGATAAAGAAGAATGATGGAGGAGGTGAATTCAAGTATGATATATTTGATACATTGTAAGAACTTTTGTAAATGTCACTATGTACCTTTCACCCAGCACTACAATTAAAAAAATTTTACCTAAAACAACTTAGTACCTGGGTGTGTTTAATTGATGTTATCAAAGTACTGTGATATATATATAGTAAGGTCCCCAGTCTAGGGAAGTTTTTTCCTTTTTTTAATCTTTGGGATGGAAATTGAGTGAGAGCTGTTTCAGCCCTTGGAGAAAGGACACAACCCAGATACATATAAAATTACTCTGCATTTTGCAAGGATTTATGGGCTATCTGAGAAACTGAGGCTATAAATCTTTGTTTTTAAGGAAAAGTTCACGTGGACCAATGAAGATTCCACATGTGTATCACTGAGAGCGGGGATAATTTAGCTTCTATAACTTCAGACCCAAGTGTGTTCTGATCCAATCAGCTAACACATCTTGGCATCTTTCCTTTAGGATGAAGACCCTGAGACCAGTTGGATTCTCCTTAATGAAGATGATTTGGTCATCCTTTTGTCACAGTTTCCATTTCATGAACTCTTTCAACATCTTCTTGGGTTTAAAGCGAAAGGTAGACCAATTTCTTTTGTCATCCATCAGATGTGGTAGTGGCAAGCTCCACATAGGAAGCATAGTATCCTGCTTCTTGGTGACTCATGATACTGGTTTTCCTGTGCTATTTATTCTGGATTTCCTTTCTTTTGTGCTGGTAATTTCCCACTCAGTGCTTAAATGTGAGAAGGCTGACTAGCTTACATGTTGCCTGGCTTAAAAATACTTTTAAATTTTGCACTTTCACTCGTTTCCTATTTCATGTTGGCATAGGAGCCAGAATAATGGGATTATTAATTCCCTCCATCCTGGTTTCGTTTCCCACTAAGGTATTTATACCTATATCCTTCACCATTTTCTCATAGTAATTATAATTTTATGTTTTTATCTGATTAACTTATAGGTGATTATTTTCCTGAAACAACAAGACCTCAAGAGATGATGAAAATTTTCGCCTTTGCCAACTCATTAGTGGAGCTTCTGGCTGTGGGATTAGAAACCTTTAACAGAGCCCGTTATAGGCAGTTTGTGAAGCGAATTGGTTACATGATCAGGTAATACTGCTGTTGGTTCATCCCTGTCTGTGTGCTCCCACTATGCTCATACACAGATGCTGTGTAAATGGGATGATGGGCATTTTATATTTCAAGTCTTATTGTTCTTAAAAGATTTTTTTCTTCCACCTACCAAATGGAAATTTTATAAATGCTTCCAAAGTATTTGGCTAATTATCCCAAATTCAGCAGTTTGCTAGGTACTTGTTCTTGGAATCCTGGTCCTCCAAGCTGCTGCTGAGTTGAAGTCTGGGCCAGAGAGAAGGGTCAAGAGAAATGGTGGGCTCTTTCTGCTTCCTTTGCTCTCCCTTGTGTACCTCCTAGATTGGAATTGTCACTTCACTGAGCTATGGAAAGTTGGCAGTAGTTTTTAATGTCGTTGTTTCCCTGTTTTTTCTCTCACCTATTCTTTTTTTTTTTTTAATTATTCACATGTGCATACATTGTTTGGGTCATTTCTCCCCCCTGCCCCCTTCCCCCACCCTTTCCCCCCTCCCCCCTCACTTCCAGGCAGAACCTGTTCTGCCCTTATCTCTAATTTTGTTGAAGAAAAGATATAAGCATCATAAGGAATACAAAGTGTTTTTGCTAGTTAAGGATAGCTATACAGAAATATTCCTTGCATTGCTTCCATGTACAAATGTGTTACAACCCAAGTTGATTCATCTCTAACTGATCTTTATACCGGTTTCTGATCCCCTTCTCATGTTTAACCTCTGTCTCTTTAAGGTTTCTGTATTAGTTCCTCTGGAGTAGGGACATCAAACACTTTCATGTTTTGGGTTTTCTACCTATTCCTATATCTCCCGTACGTGTTCTCCCCTTATTGTGTGATCCAAGTCCAACCACATTGCTGCATTTGCCCTAGATCTAAAGTCTGCATATAAGGGAGAACATAGGATTTTTGATCTTCTGAGCCTGGCTACTGCGCTCAGAATGATGTTCTCCAGTTCCATCCATTTACTAGCGAATGATAAGATTTCATTCTTCTTCATGGCTGAGTAAAATTCCATTGTGTATAAATACCACATTTTCTTGATCCATTCGTCAGTAGTAGGGCATCTTGGTGGTTTCCGTAACTTGGCTATTGTGAATAGTGCTGCAATAAACATGGGTGTGCAGGTGCCTCTGGAGTAACCTGTGTTGCATTCCTTTGGGTATATCCCCAGGAGTGGGATTGCTAGATCATATGGCAGGTCTATATTTAGATTTTTAAGAACCCTCCAAATTTTTTTCCAGAGTGGTTGCACCAGCTTGCATTCCCATCAGCACTGTACTAGGGTTCCTTTTTCCCTACATCCTCGCCAACACATGTTCTTGGTGGTCTCTCACCTATTCTTACTCTAATTTATGATAAGTGCCATTTAAAAAATTGCAAAGACTTAAATCAGTGGTCACTCTTTGTGAACTGGGAAAGTATTATTGAGTATTTGAGTGAGAAGTGGATTTATGGTTTTATTATCAAGTGTCCTATAACTTTGAGATTATATACTTTTTTTTTTTTTGGCAGTACTGGAGTTTGAACTCAGGGTCTTGCACTTACTAGACAGATACTCTACTACTTGAGCCACTCTGCCAGCCCTTCTTTGTGTTGGGTATTTTCAAGATAGGGTCTTATGAACTATTTGCTTGGGTTGGCCTCTGTTTGCCTTCCACTAAGTCTAAGCTCCAGGAGGGTGGGGTTTTCACTTTCCCCATTACATATCCACAGGACCCAGAAGATAGTTGATGCTCAGGAAATTGTGTTGAGTATATCAATTCTGCAAATGTAATGTAAAGGTGCTGATATTGAGTGAGTGGATGAAAAGTGCCATATTGTCTTTCCTCATATTCAGGATGACCCTTGGCTATGTGAGTGACCATTGGGCACAGTATGTGAGCCACAACAGAGGCTTGGAATTAGTACTGCAGCCCTACTCCATGGAGAAACTGCAGATTGAATTTGATGAGCTGTTTTTACGAGCTGTACTACATGTGCTGAAGGCCAAAAGGTAAGATGTAATGATAATTGGTGAGAGCTCCCTGACTAGGCAGATGAGAGTAATCCCATGGTGTGGACCTTTATATAGTAATGTCTTAGTGAATTTCATCTGTTTCTCATTTTGGACAAATTCTTGGGCCTTAGTTTCGCTATCTGTAATGTGTACCCTATTGGCAGAAATTATCTCTTTTTCAGGTTTCATTCTGTCTTAAAATAACACTAGTCTGATGTCTCAGTTTTACTACCCCTGAACTATAAGATTGCCTTAAGCAGGGGAAGACAAGAATGATTTTTGTTATGCTCATTTCTGTGCTTACACTGAGGCACAGTATTCAGTATCTGGTAGAAATGATTTGATGATTTTATTGTCAAAGTTGTCTTATTGTAAGTGTTTTAAAGTATTGGACTATCATGGGTCTTAGTCCTTGATCTTGACTGTAAATTCTATCTTTTGATCATTCCATCTTTTTTAAAAATAGAGAGGGAAGTGTTGGGGGTACTCTCTAGGCTCGTTGGAGTGCTTTGACATCCTGGATGCAGAGAGGGGTGTAGTTGGAAATACGGACCAGAGCTAAGTTCTGGAAACCTTTGAATGTGGGGTTGAGGAGTTCGAATCTCATTGGGTAGTCAGTGAGGAGTCCCTGGATGGCACATGTGTCTGGGTGTATACATCTACCTATATATCTACCTGAGCCAACACACACATGTATGTCTAGGTAACAGCCTCTCTGTCACCAAAGTCTTAAAAGGATCTTTGGTTCAAAACCCAACTGTGTCTCTTTGTATTCCCTCTTTGTGTTAATGGCCTTATGTGTGAATTGGGAATAATACCAAAAATCACTGCCTTGTTTTAATGAAGTTGGAATGAGTTGATGTTATATGCATTCTGAGCATCCTTAATCCAAAAACCTTCAAAATCAGAAACTTTTTAGTACTTACATGATGTCACAAGGAGGAAATTGAATACTTGACCTCATGTGATGGACTGAAGTCAAAACACAGCCACACCAGCCTGGTGGAGTGCCTGCCTAGCAAGCATGAGGCCCTGAGTTCAAATGCTAGTACCACAAAACAAACAAAAAACAACCCTCCACAGACACACTGAAAATATTATGTGAAATTACCTTCAAGGCCATGTATATAAGGTATACATGAAAGATAAATGAATTTCATGTTTAGCTGTGGGTTTCATCTCTGATATATCTCATTACATATGTGTACTTAGTCCAAAATCCAAAAAATATCCACAATCTGAGACAATTCTGGCTTCAAGCATTTTGGATAAGGAATACTTAATCTGTATGTCTGTATCATATATATATATATATATATATATATATATATATATATACATATATGTGATATGGCAAATGCTTTAGTCCTTCTAAGAAGGACTAAGAGAATGGTTTCCTTTGAGTACTGATTGATTTGCAAATTCAACAGACTGTTTACTTTTTTGATTTATTGGATAGAAGCTGGCATATTCGAGGTACAAATTTGATTAGTCCAAACTTGTATGTCAGCAAACATAATGGTCTCATTTTTAGGAATCATTTCTTTGTGTAAATTATTCTATTCAGATTAATAAGTATATATTAATTGTCTGGGAATTTGTTAAGGTTTTGGGCCGAGTTTTTTTTTTTTTTTAAGGTGCATTGTTTTTATAAAATAGGTGAAGAGATAGGCAGGTGGTATACTTTAAAAAATTAATTTTGGTAAAAACATGACTAAGTTTTAACATATTAACACCAAACTACAGGTTATTTATTTACTTTTGTTGTAATGAAAAATGAAAGTAATGTAATGAAAAATGAATCTGATCAATAATTAGATGTGTAATGGTTTTTAACAATTACCTTGTATGTTATCAATTGCCTTGTACGTTAAAAAATACAGTAGAAAACATAACCAAAATATTAACAGGATTTTAAACCATCTGAAAAGTGAATTCTGTTTTTCAAATAGACATGTATGTATTTATTTTTGAGACAGAGTCTTCTTGTATAGCTCAGGCTGGCCTTGCACTTTTGATCCTCCTGAGTACTGTGATTATAGGCATGTGCCACTGTGCCCAGCATATTTTCCAAAATTTTAAACTAATATATCACTAAAAAGAAATCATAAACTTTTGGGCCGGTAGAGCACCTGCCTAGCAAGTGCAAAGCCCTATGTTCAAACCCCATTATTTCCAAAATAAATATATAAATAAATGGTTAAAAAATCATAAACTTTAAAAATTGAGCTTTATTTGCAAAGTAGGTTTTGCATACATTCATACTTTATTTTTTTGTCTTCATTTCAAAATTTTAAACTAATATATCACTAAAAAGAAATCATAAACTTTTGGGCCGGTAGAGCACCTGCCTAGCAAGTGCAAAGCCCTATGTTCAAACCCCATTATTTCCAAAATAAATAT